CTCTCTCTCTCTCTCTCTCTCTCTCTCTCTCTCTCTCTCTCTCTCACACACACACACACACACACACACACACACACACACACACTTTGGTGGCTTGAATAAGAATGATTCTCCTAAGCTCATATATTTGAATGCTTGGTCCACAGGTGGAACTGTTTGGGAAAGTTAGGGGTTTCTATTGCTGTGAAGAGACACCATGACCACAGCAACTATATAAAGGAATAAAGGAAAACAATTAGTTGGGGCTGGCTTATAGTTCAAAGGTTTAGTCCATTATCTTACCAGCAGCATGCAGGCAGACGTGGTGCTGGAGAGGCAGCTGAGAGTTCTACATCTGGACCTTCAGGCAGCAGGAAGAGAAAGAAAGACATTGGGCCTGGCTTGAGCATCTGAAACCTCAAAGCCCACCCCCCAGTGACACACTTCCTCCTACAAGGCCACACTTCCTGATAGTGCCACTCCCTGTGAACCTAGGGGGCCATTTTCATTCAAACCGCCATAGAAGGATTAGAAAGTGTGGCCTTGTTGGAGGAGGTGTGTCAGTGGGGCAGGCTTTGAAGTTTCAAAAGCCCACGCCATTTCCAGTTAGCTCTCTGTGTTCATGCTTGTGAATCAGATGTAAACGCTCAGCTACTGCTCTGGGCCGAGCTCCCTGACTTGATGTTTATAGACTCAAACACTCTAAAACTGCAAGCCCCAAATGAACCACTTGCTTTTATGAGTTGCCTTGGTCATTTTTTTTTTTTTGTCACAGCAATAGAACTAAGGCACATAGAATTTTTTAAAAAATAAAAAATGAATAAATAAATTTCCAGGTGGTGGTGGTGTACACTTTTAATCCCAGCACTTAGGAGGCAGAGGCAGGTGGATCTCTGTGAGTTCAAGGCCAGCCTGGTTTACAGAGCAAGTTCCACGACAGCCAGGACTGTTACACAGAGAAACCCTGTCTCGAAAAACCAAAAGTAAAAAATAAATAAAACTTTAAAAAAAAAATCTTTTAAAAAGGGAAGCTTAAGTCTCTACTCAAACCTGTTAGAAGCATGGCAGTGGGTAGAATCTGAAGACATGATGGCCAGAAGCAAGATCAAGGCTCTTCAGACTCAGCAGGTCCCTGATGACACTGGAAACAGTCCTCCAGGACCATGGAGGCTGAGAGGCTGGGTCTCGAGTATTTTCCAAATCTGCCAATCTTACTAAAAAGTAAGACTTCCTGCTGTATGCAAACCTACTGGATCTTTCCATTAACAATCAACATTTGGAGGTCTGTCCCAGGATCTGTCAGTCCCAGAGCCCCTCCATATTCTAGTTAGTTCCTAGGTAGTTCTTCAGCTGGTCTGACCACATTCCTCTACTCCATTTATTCATTTTCCTCTTTCCTAACAAATGTTTGGAGAACGTAGTCAGCGCTTAATGCTGGTATACAACTTTAAATAGGAAAATTTAGAAATAAACAGAAGGAGTAAAGTTTGCCATACGTGGGGGCAGGAAGAAAAACACACACAGGTGTGTGATAGAGAAGAATACACACACACACACACACACACACACAGTGGTATGATAGAGAGGAATACACACACACACACACACACACACAGTGGTATGATAGAGAAGAACATGGAAGTGGGAAATCATCTGTGCCAAGGTAACCAGGGTTGCTCTCTAAGGAAAGAGGCTAGGTTAAAATTCACCCCCACCTCTCCAGCCCAGGCTATATGATTCTTTGTTGTGCCCTGGTTTGGGAGAATATATTTCATATGATCAGGTACTTTCTTTCTTTCTATTTATTTATTATGTACACAGAACAGGGCGCCAGATCTCATTACAGATGGTTGTGAGCCACCATGTGGGTGCTGGGGATTGAACTCAGGACCTCTGGAAGAGCAGCCAGTGCTCTTAACCTCTGAGCCATCTCTCCAGCCCTGATCAGGCGGTTTCTTTTGATCTGGGTACTGAGCGGTTAACTTCGATGATGAGCTTGACAGAATGACCGGAGAAATGAGCTTCGGGGCAGGGTGGGGTCGTCTTAGTAGTCAGTTTATGTGGGAGCACCCATCTTAATGGCCGGCAGGACCTGGGCTGCGTCTGTGGAGAAAGAGAGCTGAGCACCAGCCTTGTCTTCTGCTGTCCGTTCTTGACTGTCCCCATGATGAGACCAGTTGTCTCAGCCCCTTCTACTGTGATTTCACCACCATGATGGACCGCAACTTGGAACTCTAGCTAGAATAAGACCTTCCCTCCCTTAAGTTGCCCTTCTCAGAGTATTTTATCACAGCAACAGAAACAAAACAAAGACAGTTCACCCACCCCGTCTGCCATGTGTCTGAAAATCAACCTCAAGATCACTTTGACCTCCATTCCCTCAGCCCGGAGGGAAGGCTGTGCTCCATGAACTTCCAAAATACCTGCTGTGCCTCTTCCTTTGTCTAGAACATCCTGCCTTAAATTTTACCTGCTGCGTGTGTGGTGATATTTTATTTGTGCTGAAATGGGGTTTTATTTGTATGTTAATAAATAAAGTTTGCCTGGAGATCAGAGGTCACATAGCGAGCCATAAGCAGAAGTCAGGTGGTGGTAGCACATGTCCTTAATCCGATCACAGGGCAGGCAGAGTCTCTGTGTGGTCAAGGACACAGCCAAAGGTGGTGACAGGAGCCTTTAGTGCCAGTACCAACCATAGAGACCTGGAGGTCTGTATAGACAGGCAGTGATGAGGAAGTCATGTGGTTGGGTTTAGAGCCAATGAGAAGGCAGAACAGAAAGGCAATAAAAAGACAAGTCAGACAGGAAAAAACTCTCTCTCTCTGGGGAAGTTACTGCTGGCAGTAAGCTAAAGTTAGTCTTGGCTCTTGCTCTGATCTCTTTGGCTATTAACTCTGTATTTGGCTCTGAGTTTCTTATTTACTAAGACTGTTTAGAATTTTGTCTACATGTGTGATAATGATGGTCCCATTTGTGAGCATAGATGATCCATGTGTACATAGCACCTCAAATTTTGTAGTAACACTGGCAACTGATGTTATTATCTCTACATGATTGATAAACTGAAACGTGGAGGAAGATTTGTAACCTGTCCAGTTACCCATCTAGCAGGGTAGTATTGAGATTCAAAACATCATCTCCAGGTACTCCATTTTATTGCTCACAACAGATATTAACATGAGGCAAATGACTGTTTTATCATTGTATCCTGAAATTTAAAATGATGCTGCTGTGACGAACTTTAATATGACTTTGTTTTGGAAACGCCTCACCCCTCAGTTCTGAAAGCTGGACCAAGGTGCAGAGACCAGTCATGGTCCCTGAAGGTGCTGGAGAAGTATCTGGCTGGGTTTCTCTCCAACTTTTGGAAATTCTAGGTGTTTGTGACAGTGCAAAAATCATCTTCACAGCTGCCTATGTGCTGATCTCCAAATTTCCCCTGTTTATAAAGACATGGGTCACATTTGACAGAATCCAGTGCTTTGTGCATGGTGGGCAAGCATTCTCCCAGCTGAGCTTAGCAGCAAGAACCTTTACAGAATGAACCATCTAGCCAGCTTGGAGACACCCTTCTCAGCAATAGGCACGTTTCCTATTAGCCACTGACTGGATAAGGCCAGGTATTTATAACCAATCTCTTGATGGCTACAGTTGTTCTCCATATTTTGTAAGCTGCCCTGGCCTGTGGGATACTTAGAAACTGTCCTAAAAAAATTTAAAAAATAAAAAGATTGTTTTCCCAGAATGGTGACACAAGCCTGTAATTCTAGCACATGAAATGCTGAGGCAGGAGGACCAAGAGTCTGAGATCAATCTGGACTATGTAGCAAAACCTGGTCACAAGAACTAAAATGAAAACAAGCCCCTTCCACTCCGGCCAACTCATTTAATCATCAAGGCAGGTATTAAAACTATGATTTCATTTTGTAAATATTTTGAAGATTTTTTTGGGGGGGCGGGGGGCCTTACAATTTCCTCAAGTAGTTTGGAGCTGACAGAGAAAAGACTAGGGACTTCAAAGCTTTGTTTAACATCAACAGCACAGAAAGATTTTTGTTAGGAAAACCATTTTGGGCAATCTACAGGAAAGGTTCAGCTTGTCAGAGAATGAGAAAAAGAACAATTTAAGAGTCTTCTGAAAGCCAGCCTCAACAATAACGTCAACAGCATCAAGACAACAGAAAAAGAGGCTTATACCTGCTTTAAAATACCAGAGAGAGTGAGATAAGGGCTTTCCAAAGGAATTGGCTAGGGTTGTCTTTCAATTGACTGACATGCATAAAAGACAGATTACTGCAGAAAGAAACCTAGTGCTCAGAGTCCAAGTTCATTTATGTGACTTGTCTTTTCTGTATTTATCACCCTAGCTCACAGAAGAGGGGACAGGGACTTTGGCACCCACATCTACCCCCATCTGAAGCTACTTAGCGTCCCTGGTATTTAAGGAGGGAGCCTGAATTCATTCAGCATTTCTGTTGAGTCTACAATCTTTTTGACTGACAAGCACAAGCAAGCAAACTTGAAAATCGCCCTGGCAACGAAGCCAGAATAATCAGGTCATCTTTGGGGTTAACTTACTTATTTAGACACGGTCTCCTAAAGCCCAGACTGGCCTAGAATTCTCTATGCAGGTAAGCCTGACCTTTAATTCCTGAGCCTCCTTTCTCTACCTCCCAAGCACTGGTATGACAGGCATGGACGGCCATACTTGGCTTCAGGCCATGAATGTGAATGAATGCTAACTTTCAAACTGCAGAAGTCACTCAGCTTCTCTGGGTCTCCAGTGTGGTTTTAAAATGGACTAGAATACAGGGCCAATTTTTTTTTTCATTGCTTGGAATACATTTGAAGAGCAGAGGTTGAGGCTCAGACCTGCTTATTGTAAATTGTGGTCTGGCTTGAAGATTAGAGGGGTGGGGTGGGGTGGGCTAAAGAAGGGGTGAGGCTGAACTTTCTGGAAGTTTTGCCAAGTAACCACACAAACTCTGCTCTAAAATCCCAGGGATGCCTGCAGGAAATTGATGGATATTCCATAAGTAATGTGCTAGCCTTGTACTACATGATGTCATATGTCCTGCACCAAAAACATGGTTAGTAGCTATTTATTCCAGTCTCATAAAGATTCATTTGGGTTGGCCCCAGGGCTATAATGATAAAGGGAATAACGCTAAACTTTACTGCTAGGAAGGCACTCTTCACTGTTTTTGTTTTTATTTGGTTGGTTGGTTGGTTGGTTGGTTTTGGCTCCTGCAAGCCCTGTGCCAATAAGCTAACTCCTGTCTCAGTTGTTCACACTTCCAGGCTGATCATCTATCCACTGGGTAGACTGCTTGCCTGGTGTGAAGCCCTAAGTTTAATCCCCGGAACTTCAGGGTGGGAGGAGGCACTTAAAACGTCTTCATATAGTTTTCGTCTATGTCAAAGATAAAGAAATGAGGTACAAAGAACGGAAAACAAAATCTAGTAGCTGGATTCGGCCTGGCTTAGATGAAGGTTTTGGTTTTTTTGTTTTTTTTTTTTGTTTTTGAAGATTTATTTATTTATTATGCATACAGTGTTCTATCTGCAGGCCAGAAGAGGGCACCAGATCTCATTACAGATGGTTGTGAGCCACCATGTGGTTGCTGGGTATTGAACTCAGGACCTTTGGAAGAGCAGCCAGTACTTTTAACTGCTGAGCCATCTCTCCAGCCCCATAATTTATTTATTTATTTTTTTTTTATGGTTTTTCGAGACAGGGTTTCTCTGTGTAGCTTCGCACCTTTCCTGGAATTTGCTTTGTAGACCAGGCTGGCCTCGAACTCTCAGAGATCCGCCTGCCTCTGCCTCCCGAGTGCTGGGATTAAAGGCTTGCGCCACCAACGCCCGGCTAGATGAAGGTTTTTACCTGGAGAGATTTAAATTGCTTCCAAATTGGGTGGCAGTGAGGGTGTGGGAGGAGCTACATGCTGGCATCAAACACTTCTTCAAGTTCTGGTACAACTTTTTGCTAGCTATGTGAACTGGGGTGACTTCTCAGCCTTGCTAAGTGCCTGTCAACCGAGGCTGTTGTGACAGGGCACCATAGGGTGGATGGCTGAAACAATGGGGATGTCCTTTTCACAGGGCCAGAGTCTGGCAGGTTCAAGATGGAGGTGATCTTCCTGAGAGGCACCTCGGCTGATTTGCAGATGGCTGCTGTCTTAGTTAGGATGTCTGTTGCTGTGAGGAAACACCATGACCACAGCAACTCTTAGAAAGGAAAAAACGTTTAATTAGGGTGGCTAGCTTACATTTTCAGGGGTCCATTATCATCATGGTGGTGTGCAGGCGGACAGTGGCTGAGTCCTACATCTTGCAGGCAACAGGAGGCTGACTGAGACACTGGGACATTCTGAACATAGGAAACCTCAAAACCACCCGCACAGTGACACACTTCCTCCAACAAGGCCATACCCACTCTCCACGATGCCACACCTCGTAATAATGCCACTCCCTGGGAGATTATGGGAACCAGTTACATTCACACTACCAGAGCTGCCTTCTTGCTGTGCTGTGGGAGGAGTATGAAACTCCCCTGTTTTTGCAGGGTACCAATCCCATCATGAGAACTTCATTTAGACCTCACACCCCCTACAGGCTCCAAGTCCAGTTACCATCACATAGGGGATTAGGGCTTCCCCATCTGAGTTTTGGGGGGATAAAACATTCAAATGTGTAGCCTAGTGCAGAAGTAACCGTCTTATTAAATAAGAAACACAGAGCCAATGCAAAGATGAAAGCCCAAGAGGCCAGAACTAAGAGCCTTACCCTTCACTGCTACAGCTATCCTCTTCAGCCAAGAGACCTACTTCCTGTGTGTTTGTCTTTATATAGACTTTCTGTTCTGCCTTCTCATTGGTTGTAAACCCAACCACATGACTGCCTCTTCACTGCCTGTCTGTACAGACCTCCAGGTCTTCTATGGTTGGTATTGAGATTAAAGGCATGTGTCTCCATGCTGGCTGCTTGAACACACAGAGATCTGCCTAGCTCTGCCTCCCAAGAGCTGGGATTAAAGGCGTGCGCCACCAACGCCCAGCTCTGCTATGGCTTGCTATTAGCTCTGACTCTCAGGCAACTTTATTTATTAACATACAAATAAAATCACATTTTAGTACAAATAAAATATCACCATGGCCTAGGTTTCAGTTTATTGTATTACAACTCTTTGTAAGGCTTGAGAATAAAATGTTTATAATCTCCGGCCCATAAGAAAACCAAAAGAAACTGTACTGGCTGGCTGGTTTTATGTGTGTCAACTTGACACAGACTAGAGTCATTGGAGAGGATGGTCCTCCACAGCAGTAAAGCATTTTCTTAATTAGTGACCAATGGGGGGAGGGACCATCCAAGGTGGGTGGTACCATCCCAGAAAGTGCTCCCCTCCATGGCCTCCATATCAGCTCCTGCCTCCAGGTTCCTGCCCTGTGTAGTTCCTGTCCTGACTTCCTTCAGTGATGAACAGCAATGTGGAAGTGTAAGTCAAATAAACCCTTTCCTCCCCAACTTGTTTTTGATCATGGTGTTTCTTTGCAGCAAGAAAAACCCTAACGAAGACAGAAAGCATTCAAAAAATTAAGTACCAGTCAGTTTTGAATAAAATTTGAGGTCTGAAAAACTGTTTCTTGAATCCCATGTTAGTGTTCTTAGGACTATGTTGAGCTTGTTCATGCATGGTAGCCTTGGAATCCTTCATCCTCACCCTTAGGAGGTCAGGTACATCCTCACTAATTTACAGACAAGGAAACTGAGTGGTAAGTAAAATATCTCTCAGTAGAGGCTAACTCTGCCCATGCCATAAGCCAATCAAGCCAATTTAATAAGACCAGGTTTAATCTGAGCAATGCATTCCCGGGTAGTCTCAGGAAAGAGGGGAAGCCACGAGGCTGCTCCCAGAGAGGTGGCGTTAAATACCCTCTGGGGCCGGAGCCGCGGCTTGGCAGGTTTTCTTTGGGCAGGGTCAAGATTGGGAGGATTCTGGCCAAGCCCCCAGCTGAACATCTGGGCGGGGCTTGGAATTCGCCAGCCCCACCCGCCACCATCCCCCACCACACACAGAGCTGGAGAAGCCACGTAGGGTAAGAGGCAGACCTGAGATGGGAACCAGAGCAAGTGCTTTTCAGTGACACATGGCCTTCTACTGTTTAGAAAATGTGTGAGATCAATTATTTAAACGTGCCAAGAAATAAACCTAAATGGGTATTTTGCTAAGAGCTGTGAGATTACAGGGAATTCTGATGATGAGCCCTGAAGGAGAAAACTCAGGCCCTGTATCTTGCAGAGAAAACTGGAGAAAACATGACCTTATAGGGAGAGCGAGCCCAAATAAGAGCCTGAGTGTCCGGTTGGTAATCCCAACTGCCTGAGTTGGATCCCTGAGATCGACTTTCTGGAAGGAGAATGCCGACCCCTGCACATTGTCCTCTGATCTCTCTATGTGGCATGCACACACCACACCCATAAACATAACATAAATAAATGTAACAGAAAATTAAAAAAAAAAAAAGTCAAGGCGTCATATTTTTTTCCTAATCTCCTTCATCTCCCCTTCCTCCCATCTTCTATTCTTGATGTCTGTCCTAGCTGTTGCTCCAACATTACAAAGGTCAACTGTGAGTGAAGACACACGGTGTTCAAAGCACTGGCCTGAAGGCAGCATTCTTCTGCAGCTAGAATTCTTGTGTAGGGCACCTGCCACCAGCTCCTGGGCTCTGTCTCCGGTGAGTCAAAAACGTGTTTCCACTCTCAATGGGAGAATTCTGCTATGACCTCTTTACCTCCACCCTAGCTTATAGGCTTGAGCATCTTGCTTGAAGAGGGATAATTTAGTTTTTGGAAAACAGACAAACAAGCTGGGATTGAGTTTTCTTTTTTTTTCTTGTGTGTGTGTGTGTGTGTGTGTGTGTGTGTGTGTGTGTGTGTGCCCACACGTGCAGGTATACAAATATACATTCATGTTTATGTGCATGGTGTGTATGTGTGTATTCAGGTGTGTGCTTCTGCATGTGGATGCCGGGGATCGTTCCTCAGAAGCCGTCTGCCATATATATATATAATTTTGCATATATGGGTGTTTTACCTGATTGTATGTCTGTGTAGTGTGTGCATGCCTGGGGCCTTGGGAGGCCAGAAGAGGGCATCAGGGCCCCTGGAACTGGAGTTACACACAGTTGATAGCTGTCGTGAGGGTGCTGGGAATCAACACAGGGTCCTTGAAAAGTCACCACTGAGCCATCTCTCCAGCCCCATCTTGTTGTTTTGTTGTTTGCTTTTGTTTTAAGACAGGGACTCACTGTGTAGCTTGCCTGGCCTGGAACTTGTTATGTAGACCAAGCAGGCCTTGAACTCATAGAGAACCACTTGCCTCTGCCCGTCAAGTGCCGGGATGAAGGGTGGGCACCACCTTGCCTGGCTTCTTGCCTGGCTTTTTTTGAGATGTAGTCTCTCACTGAAACTTGGAGTTGACCATTTATGTAGGCTGGCCAGTCACTGGGCATCAAGGACCCTCCTGTCTCTGCATACACAGTTCTTGAGTGACAAGTCCGGGCCACTGTGTGCGGGTTTTTTTATATGTGTACTTGGCATTGAACTGAGGAGTACCATAAGTTGCAAAGTACTGTACTGACCAAACTATTTATTTCCCCAGCCACTTGAGGGTCTTTTTAAAGAAAAAAAATAGGATATTATTTTTTCTTAGTTTCCATATTTTAAATATATATTGGTTGTGAACTTTTTGGAGAAAATATGAAGTGGTATTGGAGTTTTCTAGAGAAAGTACATCATGATCACTGAGTTATAAAATGGCTATCCGAAACAAAAGTCTGACTGGAACTGAATTTTTTTTTCTTTCTTTCTTTCTTTTTTTTTCAAGATAGGGT